CATCTATCCACAATTACTCGTACATCACGGTAGGTTTCCTGGGAGCCATTTAGCGAGAGCATCTCAGTGCTTTATTGACTGAAAATGAAACTTTTATTCCCCACATGAAATGTCTTCTTCCTTTAGTACTGGGCACAGTGATGGTGCCCCATGCAATTAAAACTTGGACCAATGACAAAGCAAGTCTCGTTTTAATTGTTTACTTTCTTCCAGTCCACCATATGAGAACATCTCAATGTGGACTTGGGAGGACTACTATTGGTTTGTGACAGGTAAGTATAGCATTTTACTGCTTGTTCTAGTATTTCTCCCTTGAAGTGAAACTGATGCATATAGAAATGCCACATAAACCCCTATATTCTAACAATGTGTGACCCCACTCATAGTCTGTGCTATGAAGAACCAAAGGAACCCTGCTTTGATATTTTAGCTCAACAGCAAATAGCCAGAAACACTGACTGAAATCTAACCACCTTCCTGTCATCTGTTCTAGAAAACCTGACGCCTTTTGGAGTGAATATCTCCGAAGAGGTCATTTCCCTGTACCCTATATCTGCCAAATGCCCCATCAATGACCGCTGTCCCGAAAGACTCTACACCACCCTGGTGTCAGACTTGAGAGTGACCTGTCCCGCCCACGACAAAGCCAGAAGAGCTGCATGTAATGGCCAACACTTTCAAATAAAAAAATAAGCAAGAAACTCTCCTCTGCTTCTGTTTACTAAAACTTGGTGTCCACCAGAGATTGTGAGGTTACAAAAAGTGTTCAGTTATTCACAGGAGCACATATGCACAAATTTTGTGGATTGAACTAATGCATTGTCATAGCTTTTAGATTAGGTTGTGTTCTACTGCAGGCAACCACTCTAATCAACATCATCTCTCTTTCAGTGGCTTTGAAGAGCCCTGTGTACCGTTACATTGTCACCTACACGCCATCCAGAGTGGAGGAGGTCTCCAGCCTGCTACCCTTTCCCAGTCGCTTCTCATTCCACCTGTTAGATGCACTGGCATTCTTTGATGGCCTTAAATCGGTACTGGCGGGGGAGAGCTCAGAAGATCGAAGTTTTCAGGGGATCATGACCAAGTATATGGTGCACTTTGCAAGAACAGGTGAGGCCTCCAAGAATCCTCTATTAACCATTTCAGAAGAATATAACATTATGTGATCTTAGAGTAGATTCTTTTCAGAAATCAAACAACAGGCTTAGAGAGTGAAGGAAGCCCTCAGACTTTGAATAAGAACAGGTTCTCTAATTAGTCAGTTTCTCAGCAAATACAAGCATTTAGCACAAATGTGTCACTGTCTCAGGTCAAAGCTGCAGAATCACAATGACGGCAGGTGCTTCACCGACACGCATTGACCTCCTTGATGCATCTTGTCCCCCAGGCGAGATGCCCAGCGAGTGGCCCCCATTCCCCTCACACATGGCACTGCTCTCGCACAACTTCTCCGCCGTCCAGAATTTCTCAGCCTCACGGTGTCAGTTCTGGGAGAAGAATCACTTTTATCCATATGCATGGGCCAATTAAGAAGAATGGGACCTACTTGTATTCTGCTGTATAAGGATGAATTCGCGGACGATTACGTCACCCACGTGACATGGAATTAACTTTAAGTTGTAATTTTGGATTAATTCCGATCGCGTGTGGACTGGTCGTCCTGAAATTCAGATCAATCGTCCATGATTCAACCCAAATGTCACTACACTGCACGAACATGTTATTTACCGATCCCCTGTAAAACCTAATTTTGCCGTAAATAACTTGGGCTCATAAAAGAAGCCAGGATGCTCATCTGGGCCATTAGATCGGCATGCAGGATGCTTATCTTGGTTTCGGGAGATAGGGTGGGGGGTCGGTATACAGCACCCTATATTGCCTGCATGTAGGGGGGAACAGGGAGGCGTTGCGCAAAGTCACCTGGCGCCAGGACGCCCATTGTATTGTATTATCGCAAGCAGAATCACTCGGACAAAAGGGGGAATTGGAGCACCATATATTGCCTGGGGGGAAGGGGTGAGCCTGGCCAGCTTACCCCCTGCCAACACGCAACTCTAAATTTTAGTATAAAGGAACTCAGCCGTGGGATAGAGCGCGCATCGCCCGGCACTTTCTCGGAACTCACGTGTTGGTCTCCTGCCAGGACTGAAAGGGCTCCCCAGTCCATGTGTGAAGGTGGGTGATGATAGCACGTCCGAGTGTAAATAGCTTTGCTACTGCTTATGCTTTCCATTGATTGTTGCGAGTAAATTATCGCCGCTTGTGATAATATTTCGTAACTTCTTTTATGTTTCCTTGCTTCTTGTATGTATTATTGCTTCTTTTCTATATATATGAATTCGTACCTTTGCACCTAATACTATTAGCTATAAGATATATATTATTTGATACCCGTTGTAGTACGAGTTATTTTGCATTGCCTTCAATATGATAGCTTAGTATTGATGTTAATGCGAGATCATTTTGTATTACTTATTAAAGTGTATTTGAGTGAACCTAAGCGTGCCTGTTTGTTCCTTCGAGAGCCCTATATCCCTCTCTCATCCAATTTTAAGACAAATGCTTTATAAATGATTTTTCAAATATGGTTTTAATGTGCGTTTTACGGTGTTTGCACAAAGTTACCAACTACTAAGGGAACACTGAACACACTATAAACTACTGAACTGTGACTAAATCCCAAGCATTCTGAATGGTGCCAGTTCTCCTACCTTTGTATCACTGAATGCACTAGGGGGGTGTATTGGTATACAAATTTCATAGTTCGATACAAACCTCGGTTTGGTTTCACAGTTCGGTGCAATTTCAGTACAGCAAGGAAAACAGAATTTGTTTTGACATTATTGTTAAAACCAAAGATGCCTCTGTCGACGTGTGAATTACAAAACCTGCGCTTATTTGAAGCATTGTAAAAATAAATATGTAACAAAATGTTACATCAAAAATGTAAAATCATAATGAACTAAATCCGGTGTTCTCTAACGAAGTATGATCACATATCTATAGCTATTAATACATATATAACCCTAAATATTATTTTTGCCGAGTGAATTTACTGACCAAAGTGCCTAAAATGCCTCAGGGAAACGAACTCGCAGAGACCGTTTCTGCCTTGGTCAGGTCGTACGCACACTCCGATGATGTCTTCTTAAATGAGTTAGCACTTTGGACATGTGTTTCCAGCTCGAGTTCGGTACAAGTTGACAGACTTGGTCTGATCAACTGTCAACTTTCCACTGCTGGTGTAATTTATAGGGAAACCTAAATGTTCCTTAAAACACAGATTACAACTGACTGTAACCGGCATAAGTTATAACCAACTCACAGCCACAATTAGCATGTTTTCAGTGTTGAACATCTACTTGCAAATAAAGGTTCCACCCATCTAAGTAAATGTACGTGTTTCACTGTGTGCGCCAAAGGTACACGATGAATATGTGAACTGTTGCAGCCATAGAATACATTATAGTGTACTGCACTGTGGTGAAATGGTGACCTGTACAAATAAATGTAATTTCTTTAACAAATGGATTAGTAAAACCCAGCAGAATAATGTTTCAATTTTTATTGATAATTCATTTCATTTGCATACAAGTATCATGACTCATATTAACAACGGGCAAAGATAGGCAGGGCAATCAGGGGAATATCAGCACAGCTAAGACACACAAACAAATCCCCATAAGGCCAGTTTATGCACCTGCTGTAACAGCGGGGAAAACATTTGTTCTTAACGTATTTCCAGGACAAGTATAAATTCTTTTTGGGCGCTTAAAACTCCTAACTTCCATGTTTGCTAGAAACAGGAAGCATGGAATTTTTATTCATGTGCTTTTAAACAAATGTTAAGTACCAAACGACTTAGAAGAAATGACTCAGCACCCCTCCTCAACTCTCAGAAATACTTCTGGGGGGGGGGGGGCGGCAAAAGGCTGTGTGTCAATACTTAAAACATTCTGAAAATTGGCATTAGCAATTCAATTCATTATCTCGCTCCTTATTTTCCTAATTTGTTCAATACGCATACGATTCCCTGACTTAAAGGCTGTACAGTCAGATGAGTCATGCCATTCCAGTACGCTTATATTCATGTTTCAAGATAGTTTGTTCAGAAAAGACATCAAAATAAATAGGGATAGACAGTTCTCAAGCAGTCCAGGATATGTTAAAAGACAAAACTCAGCACTTCTGACCAGTACTGGTTATGTGTTAAGATGTGTTATGTGCTGACCTCTAGAGGTTAGTGTAGATATTTTTGCTTAGAATTCCAAGTTTTGCACAGTAGTAGTCATGGACCATTCCAACAGTGATTACAGGGTTAAACAGTTAAGTGACACTGAGCCATTTACCACTGATTTCTATTTCTTGTGTATAATTCAGGTCAAGCACCTGGCCTGTTTACGTGAAAACATCTGGATTTTTCTATTTGTTTAATCTTGAAGACATTTTATAAACAGACTTCAATTCTGCTCCACGTAGATGGGCTCAAGCTCTAAATGTTAGAGGGGAGAGTCGCTGGCAGGAATAAATGAAACTACAGGAAGCATCATCACCATTAAAACGGTCTGCCTGACCGGCATGTGAGATAAAGCTTGCAAACATGCAAATAAATTTTACAGATTCATTCTAAGTGGCTTAAAAAAGTCTAAATAGAGGAATTAACAAAAAAAAAACATTTTATAAGCTGATGAGACTTTGGAGACTGAAAATATTTCACAATATAAAAGGAGCTATTAAAAATTCAGATTTTTACAGTCTATGACAAGGAATCGGGGGGAAATACCTGAAATACTTTAATCCAATATATTTTTTCCAATCTCGGCCTAGTAACAGAGTAATAGACTGGGGACTCGTCTAGTGGCTTTGGATACATTTCCTTTCATGATAAATTCATTAAGGAATTATCCACCTTTGACAGTGATACTGTAGGCACAAATATAAATATGAATACAGCTAAAATGAAAACTTGAATTTCTGGTTATAAATATAGGATATTAAAGCAAGAATTATGAAAATGCAGATCAAATTAGAATCAATTAACTTAAGGAAGCACCATGGCTCCGAAAATGACTTTCTACACCTAAAAGTGCCTTTTTCTGGGAAGAAAAAACAAAACTGAAATGTTTCCTATTGAAAATACTGCTTCAGTCTCTTTATGGTCTATAAAAGTGTTGGTAGGCGAACACAATACAGAGTTAATGGTCGCACACCAGTCATGCCTTTCCTTTTGTGATTTTCATCACCATCTTGACACACACACCAAGGAGGAATACAGCCCATAAATTTGTCGTCATCGATAGTCTTGTCTGTCAGCGTTGGGTATCTGTTTTCAGTATGAGCCATAGCGATCCTGAACAGGGTATATAAAAACACAAAACGACCCAGACAACTTTTAACGTAAAGCACACAGTTACTCATTGCTTTAGCAGCCCAAGAAAAGGCAGATTAGACTGGGGTCATTCGCATCTGCATTCAGATTCAGAGTGACCAACCATTACCTGGATTGTGTTCATCACCCCGTTGGCCAGAACCGCCATCTTTCCCGCCACGGTCTTCACACCTTGCTTGAACTGTGCAATGTCTGGGCCTGACGGAAGCACGCTGTCAAAGCCGGACGAACCTACGGACGCAGATGCAAACATTAGAGAGTCACCGCTCTGCTGCAGATGTGGGAACTAGACACACAGACTAAGCACGGACCTGAACGCTCTCTGCCGTCCCCGAAGAGGTCTGCGGAGCTGATGGATGTGCTGCCTGACATGCTCTCCAGACGCGCCTTTGCTTCATACTGAAAAGCACACATACTGGTGTCATTAGGCCATGACTTACAAGGCCCACAGCAGCAGGTCTTCAAAGGCTTCAACACTGAGTGAAATTAGGAGCCATTTCACCTGAAACACATGGTTCCTTCTAAAAACAGCACAAATTGAACTACATACGTCATTGTAAATAGCACAATGGCCTGGAAAAATGAAATTTCACGTCAAGCATGGACCACAAATTTTGCATATGCATCCCAATATAGTGAGATGACAATCTTGAACTTGAATTGTCCATTCACACAATAATGAGGGGGAGAAGGTCAGCTTTTGAATGGCAATTTCAAAACTTAGACTGGGCTGGTTTTAAAGCAATAAACATTGGTCTTTTATTAAAACAGGCAATGATGTGGGACAGCCTCAGGGGTCTTTCTGAAGGCGTAGGTCAGCTAGTCCCCGGATCCCATACCTCAGCATTACTCTCCTTGCCAAAGAACATGTCAGAGGAAATCGCTTTGGCATTCGCAAATTTCTCCCGCGCCTCGCTGGACTCCGGCACAGCAGTGCTGGTCTCCGGCTTCCGTCGACTAGGCAACCTATAGGGCAGAGAGGTCAGGGTCATGTGACAAAGGCGCCCAGGATAAACAAAAAGGGGAACCGAAAATGGAAAACATCCAGCATGGATTCTCATTTAGAGTGCCAAATGGCAGCTATAATCAGCGGAACCGACAATTCATTTCTGCTAACGGCAGCAAAAAAAAAAAAAACAGGCTGCTGTGTTTATAAATGGGTTCGCCGGCCAGAGTAATGACAACCCGCTTCTTCCTGCATCTGTGGCTCAGAAGCCACCTCCACTGAAGCGACGCCATTGACACAACAGATCAGTATGTTCATTTGGTGAACGCTGAAATTACCAGTATGAGTAAAGGACGATCAAAAGAGGTCAGGCACAAGGCTGTGCACTGGGTGAGCGTTGCTTCTTCCTGTAAACAGTATGCTAACCTTCAGAGATGATTTGCAGGAATGGTATTTACCACTGCTATAAAAAATACCACCACCCCACTGTATATCTATCAAACGCAGATGTTCTCTCTCTGTAGAGGACATTGGGGACTGAATGCAACCTTGCCTTGCTCAGCTTTAACGGGACAATGGATGCTGGCAGCCCTGAGCTACTCAGCCAGATGTTCTCATATATTTATAATCTGATTTGCAATTACGGTACTTATGACAAAAATATTCAGGAGTGCCTGATCACAACAATCGAAGGGAGTTTTCAGAACTATCACGCTGCTCTTACGACGATAAGCCATATTTGATATCTTATTCATTAACCTAGAACCTCGACCATGTTGCAGGAATGAAAACAGAGAACGAAAGCGGAATGGGGAAATCAGACCTGGTGACATTTCCATTAAAACTCGACCCCGGAGTGCAGGAGCCTGTTCTGTAGGATGCGATGGTGGACTGACCTCTCCCCAATGGGCTGGATACTGGAAATGGTCACTTCAGTGTCTTTGCTTTCCTCTTTCTCCAGGGTCCAGGAGGAGAAGGAGGAGCCACTGTCTGTGTCCCAGCGCGAAGCGAAGGTGTCTCCTGACATGAACGGGTTGTCCTTGTACCTATAAAAATCACACAAGGCCTCAGGCATATCCCGGGACCATCTACAACAGCCAGAAAAGCAGGAGTTTCCTGACACTTGAGGGTGTCACCATTTACGGGCAGTACCACAGTCAAATTCTATTCGCTCATCAGTAAACGATTCCCTTCCCGACTTACTTTGGGGGCCCGGCGGTGAAGCCTGGCTCATCAAACATATCCAGCTTGGAGCAGGTGGAAGACTTAACTCCAACGGGAGTCTCCTGTTCGATCAGCTGCATCTCTGACATCACAGAATGGGACACAGCACTGCAACACAGAGATTAGAACAGGGTTATTCAACGGTCCTCGAGGTCCGAGCACTGCTGGTTTTCCAGCCTTCCTTTACCTGTCAGTCAGGTGTGAAGCCTCTGACCAATCAGAATCAGTAATTATTAATCAACTACCTGGGAGAACTGAAAACACGGCCTGGATTTGGAATCGAGGTCCAGAGTTGAAGAACCCTGGATTAGAAGGTACCACAGGCATCACAGAAACGCCACGGAGCCCTGGGATGTGACGAATGGGTACCGCCACCGCGGCCAGTGGCATGCCAAGCAGCTCACCTCCGGTTCCCAAAGCCCATCCCCAGCCTCTCAGCCTGCTCCCTCTTCTTCCCCTCCAAGCTCTGAAGCTTCTTCTCCTCCATCTTCCTGTCGATCTGGAGCTCTTTATATGCCAGGCGCATGGAAGCCACACTGCACACACAGATGCAGGGTATGTGTCACACACCAAGTCACTACAGCAAAGTTTACTGCAAGCACATTAAAAACAGACTAAAGCCAATCGGGTTCTATTCACTTCATCTGCGGACTTATTATTGCTACTGAGAAATGATGCCTTAATGCTACTCGTACAAGTATGAGTACCGGTACAATGGACTGCTTCTGTTCGCATATCCTTTCCTGCCCATCACGTCTTTTAGACAAACACACACATACATACAGGAGAGAGCAAAAAGCTTGGAGTCCAAGCACAAGGGCAGCCATTTCTCCAGCACCCCAGGAGCAATTCATCAATCAAAGCTTGGCCTTGCTTAAGGGCCCAATGGGGACGTCCATCCGCTTGCCCTGGGATTTGAACCTTTGACTTTCTGATCGCGAGCACAGAGTTCTAACCCACTGGGCCACACGCCCCCCCCCAGCAGAACCACGCTGTCCCCTGCGCACGAGCACAGCCACTCACATGGACTCCTCAGCCTGCTTCTTGGCCTCCGCGGCCTGCTCCTCCCTCAGCTTCTCAGCCACTTGGGCCTGCTTCTCCACCTCGGAGAAGCTCTTGCTGCTCACTTTCTGGGCTCCGAGGCCTTTCTTAGCACCAAGCTTAAGGGGGATTAAAAAAGAAAAACAAGCACCTCTGAGACAGGATTCCCCGTGTAATTCCCTCCAAACAACTCAGATCTCATAGGCCTTTTATGTTTCCAAGACAATTACTGTCATGTGTTCTTCCAGTTCTTGAGGTTAACAGCATCCAGAGAAGGATCTAACTCTAATTTAAGGTCTCATTCAGTCAAAGACTCGTACGAGTAAGCAGACAGACAGTTATCTGACCTGCAACAATACACTTTACGGTAATTACATAATGAATGAGGTCTCGTTACGTGACATCATTACCCCTTTTTTGGCCACTGCAGGCTTCTTCTTCCCAATAATAGACGACTTCACATCTGAAATAAAAACACAAGCAAATGCATCAAAGCCCTGAAGGAAAAGGTGAAAGTGAAGATGAAATGTGACATGAAAATGACACGTCGGAGCTTAGTGCTCCCATGTCCCCAGGGCACCGGTGCCAATATCTGGGGGCTTCAGTGACATCGGCTGCCCTTAAGAAACCGCTGACGCTTCATGCTACCGCATTAGCAAGCAGGCAGTTCCACCTTTACAAAGATGCTTCATCTGTAACCTAAAGGCTCCTGAAATGCTACTAAATAAATGACTAAGTGAATTTGTTACCTAGGTTACAGTCAAAGTCAGTCCTGCTATAACGCATGACATCACTCTGCGAATCTGTTCTAACGCTACTGACATATTAGTACCCAAGTCCAATACAACTCGGAACCGCTTTTTGTTTTTGCTCAATTTTCAGTCTGAGAGATGCACTACATGAACAATAACGCAACATGGTCTTAGTGAGAAAGACTACTTGCACGCAAAAATCAGCTATCCAAGTGAACGATAGTGATGTCCAATTCATGCACAAATCACTCTCTCAAACTGGTTCTTTTCAGTGAACCGGTTTCCATCAAATCTAAAAGAATCCATTTTTTTGTACATCCACACATTGTACAGGTCAGTGTCTTAGATTCTAAAAATATCTGACAAATTATACAAAAACACACAGCAACCTCTTTTCCATTCACTTACATTTACTTTTCGTAATCAGTCTGCAGCCATGTTGCCTTCAGTGCCCATCAGAGTACCATAACATTTACGCTGTCTACGTGCCCCGCTGCATGGTGCCCGTGGATCACTACTCCAAACTCTCGGTAATCGACAAGTTAGCAAGATCAGCACGGTCGGTTAAGGCACTAGATATGCGTCTCACGAGAATTGCCTAAGACCCATAGGAAAGATTGATGATGTAATTTATTCATGTATTATTTCTTAAAATGTATATAAATACATTATTGGCCACTGCTATCACTGTTTTTATTTTTCAATACTAGCTACTAAGTTTTGGAGTCACATTCCCCTAGCCCTATTTTTCCCCTCAGACCAAACGTGTATTTTAGTACATAATTCTAGTGAATGTGAGGCTTTTCAGGACCACATTAGTTGCATTACAGCAGGACTGATTATATTAATCAATTATACTGTCACTGAAATTCTTACTAAACTTGGAGATAGATGACATATCAGTTAACGTATCAGCATCAGTCAATGTTCGGTAAAAATCAAGACATCGGCACGATGTGTCAACCTTGGTCGATATTGCTGGCTGATATTCAGACTTTAGTCAATATTCAAAGTGAGCGACACTAGAGAAAAAGACGCAACTATTAACATAATGGAGGTGACTGCATTGGATGATCAGCCATTTTCCACAATGGAGGACGAGGGATAGATATTGGCTCATTCGTCACTTAGAACCTCTCTAGTGTTCCAAGTCAAAGCTGCTTCGCTGATGCTTGCATTAAACTATGTGGTTGTTACACATATACTAACACGATCTTAAGAAGTAACACCACAAACATCAATTTCACTACAAATTTGTGGAGCTCAGAGGTTAGCCAGTTATTGACACAATAATATGGTAATATTATACAAAAATATATCCTTACTGGTGTCAGCCAAAATTTCCACATTGGTGCACCAATACTCACATTTATTTTTTTTATAATCACAAAACAAATTCAGTGCTGTGAGCTTGGGAAACGACAGCCATAGGCACATAACTAGCATATCCAAGTTTATTAAAACAGCTGTTGAGGCAGCAAGGCTACAGCGCAATCCTGACGTTAAGGGAACGTTTAGTAAAGTCTACAGCGTGGCAAAGTCAGCGGGATCAGCTGGAGCAGTTGGTTAGCGACGAAATGAGTGCATCAAACTCCAGTAGAGAGTCAAACAAGCATAGGGATCTGCCCAGTAACCAGCCAGCCACTGAGCCCACAAGCAGCTTTGCGGGTCGTATCACCTTCAGAAGGCTGCGGCTGATCGGACGACAAGCGCATTGAGTCCTCTACATGACAGAAAACACAGCTGTTACAGTGCACTCACTCCGCTGGAGTCACTTGTTTATTACAGACACCAGTTCCATCAAATAACAGCTCAATGACAGCAGGTTTAATGGGGGTGGGGATGTTAAACATTCAGATTCATTTCCTCACGAACCGAAAATCCAGAAAGAGCCTTTGGCATCTGATGAATACTTAGCTAGTTTGTGTCTGTTAGGTTAGAGGATGGAAGGTGATTTTGAACAAATCTGAATAGAGGGGACTTCCGTATCAATAGCAGTATATATTACAATAGATCAGGAAGATGGCAGTGAGGGCATGATGTTCACACATTATAACTGAACGGAGGGAGATAATGCCTCATGGAACTAACTTACCAAGTACAGCTTTAGGAGACGTACTGAGGCCCTCGATGCTCGGGCCTTCTTCTTGATCTAAAAAAAAAAAAAAACAACAATAATTTTTAACCAATTAATCCTAATTTTCACTGATTTCATAAAACATGCACGGCCATAATGTGGTTGGCCAATGTACTTCTAACATTTGCATCAGGTGAAACACTCATGAACCCAGAAGCACACACACCAGCACTGACTTTAGCCGACTCCTTGGACGACACCTCCACCCCCTGTGGGGCAAGTGCTCCGTTTTGTTCCTGCAGGTTTTGTCCCTGCACGTCCCAGCTGTTCAGAGGCTGCAATACACATTTTTTAAACATTTTATTTATTTTTAGCAGATGCTTTTTACCCAAAGCGACACACACAATTCTTTTTTGAGACAGTATGGCCCAGTCGAGAAACCACTGTGCCGAACCTGGGATTTGAACCGGCAACCTTCCAACCGCAAGGCACAGAATCCAAACATGTTAAGCCATAAACTGCCCACATAAAGACTCCACAGACGGATTTTCCAAACTCCACCCAGGGACATCAATATGTTTACTTAGCAGAAAGTTTAATCCAAAGTAACATACAGCTGAGAAAGAATGGCCAGCTAGGTCCGGAAGGCTCTTGCCTGACCAGAGGAGTTGAACCGCAATCCTCCTGATCACAGGCACAATGTTTTAGGCACTGAGCCACAAAACTTTCATGGGGTGAGGTTACACACAATCTGCTTATTACAGGGGCTGAAAAGCAGTGATCTTATCTTCCACAAAAGTGCCTTTTGACTAAGCAGATTTATTAGACTGTAGACAAGACACGGGAGCTACGATCAAGGTGTTCTTAATATTCTATAAACACATGCTTTAATATTATAAATGTTTTAATTTTCTATCATTCAAAGTTTGCCACTGAGTACCAAGTACTGGAAAATGAAAATGCAACCTGAATGAAAACAGACTGTGCTACTTAAGGGATGTTGTTCCATGGAAAGAACCTACTTTCTAACTGCCTACAGATTACAGCCAGTATTACTGAGGATGAAGATGCCACATTTCCCCAAAACTGCTCCAAACTACGCCTGACTGGGCAGAATCATAGCAAGTTCTAAAACGTGCTGGAACAGACTTACCTGACTATGTTCAGCAAAGAAATCTGGATCTCTCTTTTCAGAAGCAGCAGACTGGGTGTTCCCTGACGCCTCAATCCACAGCTGAAGACATAGTATAACGATTAATAGATATAATTTCATAATTGCAAAAAATAAACCAGACACGCTATTTAATGTACAGGTAGGACACAATGGAGAGATATTCATGGGGTCTAACAATTTAAATATGCAGTGCCTGGTGAAGGTCTGGTATCAGAGAAGTCAGGAACTGATGGAGAACTCACATCAGTACCGTACTTGGCCAGAGCAGCATTGGCCAGCTGTCGGATCTTCTCGCGGTACATCTGAGCCGCTCTGCTGTTATACTTAGCATTGGTGTCGCTGGTCGTGCAGCCATGTTGACGGAAAAAGGCAGTCTAACCAGAAGGAGACACAAAGAGACATACTGGTGACCACAGGTGCTTTACGCATACAATTGCTACTTTAAATTGCAATCAGCATTTGGAACATATATTAAGGCCCGACTGACATAATACCGAATTTAAATAGCTAGAAATTACAATAACCTACAATATAGGTGAAAAATCATTTTATGCGGTTAAAAATTACACATTTATAGGCATAAACAGTGCTTTACTGGCTAATGAGACATGATCAATTTCTCATACTTAAATAGAGTCACCAAGTCTTAAAATAATACAAGCACAAAACAAGCTGTTTATAGTTAAGCTTAAAAAAGCAAACAACTCACAATGCTGACCTCTCAAAAAAAAGAGCTATTTGAAGGTGCATATTCTGTACTATTTATCTTACAAATGAACTGTTCTCGCATACATACACAAAAACAAAATTACTCTCCACCCCAAAGTTTTTGTATGGTATTCTGGTGCGACATCATACAGGGAGCACTCAACTCACATAAAACCAACTTATGTAAATTTGGATGCCTGTATATATCTTTTAATATTGAAGGAGTCATGTGCCTGTAGGTAAATGTATACTATTTTCATATATTTAATTTGTGCTCTATAGTACAGATTGTTAGTATATTTTTGGCTTAGGTGTTTTTCAGTATGGGAAGGTAAATCTGAATTGCGTGAAATTTGACTTACGTAAGGGTTTGAGTAACAGATTACTTACTTCAGTCCAGAACTGTATTCAGGAAACATGGAGTAGAATCTTTATTTTACTACAGCTAATGTGCTGGGCAAACTGGCAGCCCAGTGGCTCCTTAACAGCACTCACCGCACTGGCATTTCCTCCAACCTGCATGCATCTCAGCTGAAACCAATTCCAGTTGGAATCCAGTTCTGTAGATCTGGGGACACAGCGAGCGACCGGTCAACTGCAGATATCAGTAAGGTGCACAGACGCAAAGCCTTCTGGGAAGCAAGGTGGGTACCTGACGAAGCTAAGGTGCACTCCCAAAGAGCGGTGGCTGCCAGAGCAGTCGATACAGAGGAACACTCCATATGGTATACTTGCCCAGCTAGGATTTTTAGCAGCACAATCAAAGCATGCCTAGGATGTAATGAAAAAGAAACATTTATGCACGTGAAAAAAAGCGTTTGCAAAATCCTCAAGTAAAAGATCTGTGATCCATCTTTCCCTTTATATTTGGCACTTCAGATATTTTCTGTTCATATTTAGCGATACACACGTCAAGATATAAAATAATACAGATAAAGTCGACTAACAATTTAATTGCACATAATATTCAATACTGTAAAATGTCAGACTGCCAAGATAGCTTTATATGAAGAAACAAGCTAATCAGTAGAACGGAAGATTCGTGTCAAAGATCAGCCGCGTTAATAACGTTAGACGGGTTTCAGATATATCTAGTGATGCGACATCGAAAGTTGCTGTGATCGAGCCTGGCGAACAGAAATAAGATGATCCTGAAACGCGACGAAACGACGCTGGTAATGACATGTTAAAATCGGTGATACACGGAGTATTAATCGTCTGGAATGAAAGGCAAACAGCAGTGTGTTGCGTAAGCATGTCTCACAATGAAAACCGATCCCAGCTCAGGTGTCGCTTGGACCTCTATTTAATCGGGGTAATCCTAAATGAACAACTCGGCCACGATTTCTTTGTAATCGACAATACGACCCATTTATAAACTTCTATAAAACGGAAAACGGTAACATGTCTTAGAGCAGGTTACGAAAACAAGCGATGGCGGACCTGACCCGGTCAGGGATCCAGCCGCGAGGCTCCATAGCTCACTGAGCGCACGATCAAAGCACCAAAACATCCCCTTTAACCGTTAGGGTCCACTCGGGGTTTTCGACGACAAATCAAATGTGTTTGGGTAATGGCACGACGTGGCTTATATAAAGCAGGCCACGAAACGCTTCTTTCATCAGTAAGGGTGACCGTAACATGGTGGCTGCGTTTCTGCCGGGTAACCAAACACAAGCAAGTCCGCCGGACTAGGTGAGTAAGGCTAGAGATCTACGGGAAGTCGTGGGAGAGCAGACGTGGCTTCGGCTGCTGCGACGAACGGCCGACAGAAACACGTAGCTGGGTGGGTGGCTAAACCGCTAGCTGGCTAACAGGCTAGCGCTCGCTCCGGCACCAGCTGCCGGCTTACGGAGAGGAGAAGTCCCGGAAAACCCTCCAAACCCGAACTCGTTACTGTTCAAACACAATTCCGTGCGGGTCAACTGCCACCATTCCTCATACTTAACTTCTTATATCTTTTACCTTGTTTGTAGCGATGGACCTCAGCCTTTTAAAAATGGTCAGAATCTCAGTCTTGTTCGGCTCTGACGCCATCTTGCCAGCTTTCAGCGATACTAGGAACTACAGCGCCTCGTATGGCGCAGAAAGCACCGCTCCCCGGCGATCGCGTTTCAGGGACACGCCTCTCTACTGTATTGTTATTTGGAGTTTACGTGAGCCTGTATTCTGTACAAATAGTTTAATCACATTCAGACGAATCCAACCATTTGTTTGGTAAACATTAATGGACGTGACGTGTCGAAGAGTCGTAGCTGTCATGTTTAGTTGTAGTAGAAAAAATTATTAAATTTCTCTTTTTTTTATTGGCGGATCGTTTCATGACCATTTTTGGAGAAGGCAAATCTGGAACCACACGACATTATTGCATTACTTAATCCATTTTATTGTTAGATATTTTCATGTGTGTTTCCATTAACATATTATAAATATATTTTTTTCTACCAATACATTCTCCATATTTAATAGTAAAAGTTCAGTTCAGTGATACAAAAATCACTTTAGTTATTTGTTAGTTTGGCTCAACATTAAGAAATTTTTATTGTACAGACCTATCATACTGCATGGCAGAATTGTAATCATATGGGGTCCCCAGGTTGTTGGTTGGAAGAACATTGAAAAAACGTACAGCATATAGGATTTATTTATTTTAAAAAAGGATGGAGAGAAAGAAAAAATCAGGGCGTCAGAGCTTAGTGTGAATAGTTCAGAGTCTGGATGGCCAAAGGAAGAAAAGCAATAGGAAATTCTGTCATTTTAATTTAAATGAAGGATCACCTAATTGATGTTGTTATTCTGAGTTGGAAATATAATCACAAGATTACTACTATTATATTTAATTATATTATAATTTTCTGTTTGGTTATATGTAATAAAAAGTTTCCAGAATTGTTCCCCTCGTAATATAAAAAATGTTTTCTTTAGCTATTCATCATCCCTTCAAAAGAAGTGAGCGAGTGTAAATTGACTTGTAAAATTCTCTGAATTCATCACTTAATTTATCTAAATGAAAACATAAACCATCTGAGTTTTGGCTTAAAAACGACACTTTCTACACATACTGTTTGGTGGTTGTTTTGTAGTAAAGCCCCTTTGTCCGGGAAGCTCCCTAGTTGACCATCAATCATGCCCCATCATGAAAACTGTCAGAAAATAACAGCGTGAACTTGGGCAACATTATGTGTGTATACATATCTATATATACACCTCTGGCAATTTAGACACCATGTCAGGTCAGGCTGGGGATCATGCGCTGATGCAGCTCGTTGCCGCACCCACTGCATGGCGAAACTCATCGGGATCCCAGCCAGCGACCCCCCCCCCCCCCCAGGCAGACACACGGTCCAGTCCCACCCTCCGGAAATGGCCATCAGTCTTCCACAGCCAGGTGTTACGTGGGCGTCCCCTTGGCCTGGCCCAGCAACTTGTGTCCTAAGCAATGAGAATCTTGCAAGCCGGATCACCCTCAGGGAAACGCGCCACATGGCCATAGTGCCGTAACTGACGCCCCCTCACAATGCAGGTAATGTGCTTCAGTTAGGACTCCTCTAGCAACTACTTATTCGACACAAAGTCAAACCAGCAGTACCCAAGGATTCTCCAAAGAGACACAGTACCAAAGGAGTCCAGTCTTCGTCTCAGCTCACTGGATGGCGTCCATGTCTCACAGCCATACAGCACGACAGGGAGCACCAGGATTCTAAAAACTTGCAAAGATATCGGGAACGCCACACACCCCTTTCCAGCGACCTCATGACCCCCCATGCTCTTCCAATCCGTCTGCTGACTTCATAGGAAGAGTCACCAAAGACTTGTATGTCGTTGTCGAGGTAAGCGAATCTCTCGACGAGGTCAACATTCTCCCCGCAGACAGACACACTACTGATGGCCGTGTCTAAGAAGTCATTAAAGGCCTGGATCTTGGTCTTTATCCAGGACACCTGCAATCCCAGACACTCAGACTCCTCGCTCAGTCTCTCAAGAGCCTCAATCAGAGCCTCCATTGACTCTGCTAAGATCACAGCATCGTTAGCAAAGTCAAGATCACTCATGTCACTATTTATGGGTATGTGTCTGTGAATTGTGTGTGTGTGTGTGTGTGTGTGTGTGTGTGTGTGTGTATATGTGTATGTGTGTGTGTATATATATATATATATATATATATATATATATATATATATATATATATAGTGAACTGCAGCCTGGTTCTTCTCTGTTTCTCATTAATGAAGGGCTTCTTCCTTGCTTTTGGGACTCCAGTCCTGCTTCTAGGAGCCTGATATGAACTGTCCTAGCAGTGCACTTCACACCTGCACTTAATGCTTCCCATTCCTTTTGAAGGTCACTTGATGTCATCCACCGATTCATAAGAAACTGTCAGATAAGTTGACGGTCATCTCTGGCATTAGAAAGTTACTTCTGCCCTCTTAATTTTTCCAGAGCTGTACATGCACACAATTAAATGCTTTGAGGTTGAATTCTTCTGTAATTGTATTTGATGATACTTCATTGATCCATCATGGGGTAAACTCTCTTTTCAACTCCCCCATCTTACTCTCCATGACATGCATGTAGGTGAGAGCAAGCCTGGCAGCGAAGGGCAGCCACACCCACGGTGCTGCGGGGGTGACGGCCACGGACCTGATTATTCAGCCAAAGCCAGGCTCAACCTGGCAACCTTCCAATCAGAGGTACAGGGGCTTGGCCCAGTGAGCCACATGCTGTCTCCATTTGGTCATATTTAAATGAAACCATAATATGATGGCCAACAGCTATGTGAAAACTGAAAAGAAAAATAAGGATTCGTCCATCTAAATTCAAGCCACTTATCATGTTCAGGTGGGCAGGGATCCATAAAACTAATAAGATCCAACCATTTTCTGAGACCATTTGTCCAATTCGGGGTCAGGCACAGAGCCTTCGGAGAGCTTCTGAGCCTCATCTCAGAAGCAATGAGCACAAGGCAGGAAATAACCCAGGATGGGACACCAACCCACCAGAGGGCACACTCACACTTTGATAACTCCATCAGCTTCAGTGTGTTTTTGGACTGTGGGGGGAAACCAGAGCACATGGAGGAAACCCCACGACAACATGGGGAGTGTCACGCTCGCCGGGGAGGCGAGCAGGGAAGCAGACGAAAGCAGCCGGACTGACGGGCAAACGGGGTTTATTCAAGGCAGACTGACGGACGAAGCACAACACATGACAATACAATGCCGGATCTGGCAGACATGGGGAGACGCGGACTAATATACACAGGACTAGGTAAACGGAACAGGCAACAGGTGAGAACCATCAGGGCTGAACACGAGGTAATGAGGGGGGCGTGGCACACATCGGGATCGTACGGAGCGGGATATGACAGGGAGAACATGCAAACTCCACACACACAGAATCCCAGCAGAGACTCAAACCCAGGTGCTACAGGTGTGAAAGGACAGTGCTAATGACTGCATCACTGTGCCACCTCTAACTAACTAAACTTAAAGATAATAAACTTTCACCGAGTTGCTGTTAATAGTACTTTATTACGTATTTATGGAAATTAATGCACAGCACATCTGCATATATGCATTTTTATTTTTGATGCAAAGTAGTTAAATTCAAGATTCGTCTGCGATTCATTCTTCGACTTTGTATGTTTCATTCTTTGCCATTTTGATGGTACTGCAGTCATGGTTTTTTCATATATCGTTCTGTTGGGGAAAAAGAATACATTCAGCTTAACACATGGAGTTATCCATCCATCCATTTTCCATACCCCCTTGTCTTAAGCAGGGTCGTGGGGGGTCCAGAACCTATCCAGGAAGCTATGGGCGCAAGGCAAGGAACAACCCAGGATGGGGTGCCAACCCATCACAGACTATAAATTATTTACATCTTAATTCATGTGTCCATGGGCACATTTAATTCCCTGCATCTGGCCTTTTTCTTATATTAAAATAAAAATCTTTCAGCAGAAAACATTAAACACACTTTTCTTAGCATGCTGAGGAAGGCCATACTTACTGCATTGGTAAAGACCGTTGATTCTATTAATGTCATTTTGACTCATTTGTGTGGCTCTCCCGATTGATACATTGCTGTTTGGAATCGGGCGGATGGTTTCCTGACCATTACTGGAGAAGGCAAATCTGGAACCACAAACATCGTTAGATTACTTCATCCAGTTTACTGTTGGATATTTTCATGTGTTTTTATATTAATACATTCTAAATATTTTCAGATTGTTGCTCAATGATGAAAGTCATCTATTAGTTTGATAGCTTGGTTCAACATTGAGAAAGAATTTACTTACTTCCCATACTGCATGACTGAGTTATAATCATATGGAGTCCCCAGGTTGTTGGTTTGAATCCTCCTGAAATTATGTTCCTGTCCTAGCATTTATAAAAAGACAGAAAAAGAAATGAGGGCAAAAGTACTATGCTGTAGTCAAGTATTTTCTAATACGTGTAATGCGAACATGTATGACAAGGAGCATAGGAGGGTTGGGGGGACAAAGGTGGCATTGTATCAGTGGGGCTGGAATTTCTAGCTGTGCCCCTTTGTACAACTATTCATCTTTAACAAACTGCTAGGATACAGTTTAGCAGTTTAAAACATCCCATTAAAGCAAAATACAGTGGTTCAAAGGAAAGGAAATTGTGGAAACGCACCGCGGAGGATGTTCTGATACAAGATGCGGACGTGCTGATCGCGATCGCTGCGATTCTGCTCGTGGTGGAAACCCAGCGCGTGAATTAATTCGTGCTGCACAATTCCGAAGTAGACGCAACCCGATCGGCTCAAGGAGACATCCTGTGAACCACCACGGCGCCCGATAAACGAATAACATCTGGACCACAGACAGAATACAAAAAAAACAAAGGGTTATATATTTTTACTTCCAAATGGTTTGGATTTATATATGAAAATTAAGTCAACATATTGATAAATCAAACTATACATAATGTTTGGATGCACCCATTGCCGGTTCAGAATGAGTTACAAATTAAAAATGAAAAGCTTGTCAAATTCATTCACATACCCGCTAAGGGACCGGATATTCAGGTAGTCTCTGTCCCTGCTCTGTTGTCGGAAGCGGATACAAGTGGAGGCAGAAAAGGACTGCAGTGCTTGCTGAATGATAGCCCTTTCTCGAGATGCTAAGAGATACCCACAATCAGTACTCTGTATGCACATACAATTTAAGAGAAATAGAAACCAAATGCTCACAGCAAGTACTACTGGGATGTAATGGGGCATTAGCTCAGTCGGGGGGGGCTAAGAAATGTGAAATGGATATGCGACATAAATGTAGCACTGCCTTAACAAAACGACACTGCAAATTTTTACAAGAAGGCATGGAAATAACATGGGTCACATACAATACTGATTGGAGATGACGTAGGGGATGTAAACGTTCCCGTCAGAATTCTTTTGCCATTTGCAGCCACGACTCGTGCAGGGATCGGCATTCTGAAGACCAGTGGGGGTGGCAATATCCCCAAACTTCACAATGGGTTCATCTAGGTCATTTCCTTAAAGACACAACATTCAGACGTAATCACTGCATGTATTTTAAACTTTGCAGAAAATGGTGTGGAATATGTCTATTACATCATTGTAAATATGTGTATAAGACGTGGATTCATATTTCACTTTCCACTGATAATTGTATTTTTTTTTTAATTATTTTTATATTTTTTTTAAATCATACCAAGGTTCTTGTTTGCTTTTTCAATCAACGTTGAGAGAGTAAATTCATCATCCTCTGAAATGTTCACTGTTGAAGAAAATCATTGTAATTAATATTACCAGGTTGGTAAATTAATCAGTAATAAACATTCACATTAGCTACTTGTTGAGTCAGTCTATTCTTACAAATTACTCAGTTAATTTAACACCTAATTCGAAAGACTTTGACTGAATAATTGAGTAGGCCATAAAAGATTATCAAAAATGAATAATACATGGAATATTGACTCTTACTGAATGAGGTGAGAAGAATTAGACCAGCTTACCGTGTTTTGCATGCCTAATTTCTTCATATGGAACTTGCTGTATGTAAAGATATAGGAAAAATAACAATTAAATATCAAAGACAGACGTAGCAACAACTAGACAATTGGCTGCAAAAAAAGAATTTGATACATTTCAAAATGTGAAAAACTTTGAAAAGAAGTTGAATTTCCAACCACCTCCAGACCATTTACTGGGAAAGTCATTTTGGGATTTATAATCTATAGTTTTCTCAGGCTGTTTTTAGTTTGGGAAGAAACAATAAACCCCCGTTTTTTAAGGAGAACATAATGTCAACACAAATAAGAAGATACAGGGATAAACATATTTGGTCTTACTCGGATCACATAGCAGTTCACCACAACAAGTGCTGCAAACAGCAAGGTGACTCCAGCGGCTGACGGCATGGTGAATAGGCTGTGCGCATCCAAATCGCGAAAATGCAGGGCGGCCCCGGGTTTATATAGACTGACAGACACTGAATTCCTTACGAAAAACAGAAGTGTTGAAAAGTTGCAAGATTTTGTGGCTAAACCTTTAGCTGTAAACATTTTAGATAAAATACCATGAAGATTTCCTGTTATGTCACATTTTCATGTGATAAATGATGAAATAGTTGACAAGAGGGAAAGAGATCAGAATTAATATTTACAAGTATAACACATCTGCAAAGTCAGTTGTTTGAAAAGTAGTTTATATAAATAATATACATGCTCTTTCCACTAAGGCACATCTTTAGCTTTTGGTATAGCAACGGTAAAGGTGTTTGGAACTTTGAGGCCTTTAGATGAACTACTTAGAACCTTAAATGTTGAGATTTGTTACTGATAATGTGGGTGGTATGAGGCTCAGTGAGTTGTGTCTGTGATCAGAAGGTCATTGGTTGAAATCCCAGGGTCAGCAGAGTGACTTCACCATTAGGCCCCTGAGAAAGGCCGTTAACCCCCTGTTACTTACGGGACTGGCTGACTCTGCTTTCTCAATGAATGCATGTTGCTTTATACTGTATAAAACCATCTGCTAAAAAAAATGTTTAAAAAAATGTTAGAAAAAATTAGTAGAACAAATAAGAATGGGTCCAGTCACACCTCCTCCATGTCACCATGATCCTTGATCTAAATGTACATGGATATTGGATGCATTGATGTACCTTTACAAATTGTATCTGTAGGTATGGTGGGGCGGCAGCCAAAATGTTGTTTTTGCAGCTAGATATTTCCTTAGTATTAAGTTAGTGATCCCTGCTTGTAAGTATGGGATTGGTTCCTTAACTAGAGATGGGCTGGGTCCTTTGTCTTTGCACTATATGTCTACGCCAGTGTTTCCCAACCCGATCTTTGGGGACCCCCAGTCACTGCACGTTTTCAGTCACTCATTCATTACACTTGAAGTTAGACCTGTACAAAATCAGTTTGCCCAATGGCATACAGTTTTTCAAAGTAACATTACTTTTCAAGCAAAGAATTACTCTATAAACTCTTGTTATTATTTCAACTCATTTAGCAGACACTTTTATCTGAGGTAACATACAGAGTTTTTTTTGCTGATCTTACTTTGATGTAATAGGGGTCAGATAATTTACGGTGCAATTGCTTAACTATGAAACCACTAAGGCAATGTAAGATTTGAATCAGTGACCGTCTGATCACAGACGCAGTGACCAAACCCACTGAACCACACACCATTCCCATACTAGCCACCAGGGGCGCCATAAGGGGGAGGAAAGCTAGGACGATTCCAAGGGCCCCTGAGCGACAGGGGCCCTAAAAAATTAGGAAAATAACTGGATTGGTTTGGACTGGGGGGCCTAATATGATATGCTTTCATGGGGCCCAAAATCTCTAGCAACGCCCCTGCTAGCCACTCACCAACATAATCCTTAGTTTAAACACACATTAAACACACATGGCTATGGGCTGAAAGAATAAATATAGATTTTTGTAAAAGTTATCTATAAGTGTGGTGTGATGAAGCACATAACAATGTTTTTGCAGCTAGATAGTTCCTCATCACTAAGACACTGATTCCAATCTGTAAAATTTATTTTTCTTTGCACTACCAACCAATCTGCCATAACATTAAGACCACTGACAGGTGAAGTGAATAACATTGATTATCTCATTACAATGGCACCTGTCAATCATATTAGGCAAGAAAACAGTCAGTTCTTGAAGTCGATATGTTGGAAGCAGGAAAAAGTGTAAGGATCCGTGTGACTTTGGCCAAATTATGATGTTTAGACGACTGGGTCATGGCAGCTCCAAGATGGAGAGTCCCTCATATGCTCTGGTCAGTACCTACCAAAGGTGATCCGAAGAAGGCCAACCAGTGAACTGGTGACGGGGTCATGGGCGCACAAAGTTCACTGATGTGCATGGGGAGTGAAGGCCAGCCCATCTGGTCCAATCCCACTGGAGAGCTACTATACTTTTATGTCTGGCTATGATAGAAAGGTATCAGAGCACACAGTCAGGGGCGGATTAACGCACAGGCTAGATATGGCTTAAGCCTAGGGGCCCCACGTGTGCCAGCCTACAAGGGGACCCCCATTGGCGCGGAGGGGGGCGGGGTTGGGGGGCCCACAGACTACTGTAGCCTAGGGGCCTCTGTGCACCTTAATCCGCCCCTGCACACAGTGCATCACATCTTGCTGCATGTGGGGCTGTCTAGCTGCAGGCCAGTCAGAGTGCCCATGTTGACCCCTGACCCCTGCCAAAGGCGCCTACAATGGGCATGCGAGCATCAGAACTGGACCATGGGGCAATGGAAGAAGGCAATCTGGTCTGAAGAGTCACGGTTTCTGTTACACTATGGGAAGAAGGAAAGCTGGCGGAGGCAGTGTGATGCTCTGGGCAATGTTCTGCTGGGCAACCTTGGGTCCTGACATTCATGCAGATGTTACTTTGACACATATAACCTGCCTAAACACTGTTGCAGACCAAGTCCACCCCTCCATGGCAATGGTACTTCCCAGTGGCAGTGGTCTCTTTCAGCTGGATAATGTGCCCTGCCACACTGCATAAACTGTGAAGGATTAGTTTGTGGATCATGGAAAAAAAGTCTTGACTTGGTCTCCAAATGGGATGTGCTGGACACACAAGTCCGATCCATGGAGGCCCCACTTCGCAGCTTGCAGGACTTGAAGGATCTGCTGCTAACGCCTTGGTGCTAGATACCACAGGACACCTTCAGAGGTCTTGTGGAGTTCATGCATTAATGGGTCATAGCTGTTTTGGCAACACAAGGGGGACCTACGCAAAATTAGGCAGATGGTTTTAATGTTATGGCTGATCAGTGTGTGTCTAAACTGCAGCAGTCACTTACAGCTGCAGGCCCAGAACAGTTTTTGTGTAGATCAAGTAAAGACACCTCACTCTGTACTTTGCAAGAAAAAACTTTAAAATATTTCGCGTATTCCTTGCTGCACCTATGTTGCCTCAGACTAGAAATGGAACCTAAAGAGAGACAAAGACAATCCTCTTTTCCTGGAGTCTATCTCCTAACTCCAACTCACAACATTTATTTAGGAAGGCTCCGCCCAAGTCATGCTATGTATTTGCTATATTTTTGCATAAATAAATATGTGAAATGTAAAATGTGCATGACTGATTTACTTATGTATGCATGCATAGCATTGTGAAACATTCTCAGCTCTCAGTCCTTAGTGATTGTTTTGAAATATGCATGAAATACCAGTAACTTTTGCAATAGTTGGTTGGAATCCATTGCATGTCTTAAGCATACATAAAGATGTCTTATCAAATTTAGGAAACAGCTGTTAGTCAATACCAACGACAACTTAAGTCAAAAGTACATCAACAATGAACTGCCATCCAGCACAAACACACAGACAGAGGTAGGGGGTAGGAGAAAAGGGTTAACTAAACAAGCAGACAAATACTTTTATTATATGGCAAAAAAATTGAGAAATACATCTCTTGACGAGCATCACATAGATGGCTGTGAAACTCAAACCCCCAGAATAATTTCAAAGTATGTATCCAATTTCTATGATAAACTATATTTTCTGAAATCCTTACATAAAACCCATAGATAAAGAATATAAAGCTATTTGCAATAAATTTCCATTCTTGAAATTAAAAAAGCTATCAGTGACTCAAACTGAATAAGCCTCTTGGTAATGTTGGCCTTTATCTACATATAACACTGGTTTTAGACGTGCCACCTTCACTTATAAGGAGAACTGGCTCTAAACTTTTTCGACTTATTTGGAAGAATAAACCCCATTTTCTTAATTAAGATATTATTTGCCATCCACAGGAAGAAGGGGGCTAAAATGTTAGATTTTCAAACATAACGATATATTTAAAATAAAATGAATACAAAGTTATTTAAAAAATAGACAAAATACATGGTATCCATCCATCACTGAAACCCACACGAATTATTTTGTTAAATATATATTATGTTGTTTATGTTATGTTTGTCGCTATCGTCCAAATAAAATAACATTTAAAAAAAATAAACAAGCACCGGAAGTGTTAAAAAAAAATAAAACGACAAAGCGCGAAACAACGCGAGAAAATGCGTGAACACAGAAAGGAACCGGAAAAGACGACGAAAACGTTTTATCTACAGTATTTCGTGTCGTTTTTTGTGTTAAAACTTTACTAATCGATCTCTTCTATTATTATTATTTTATTATTATTATCTTTTAACCGAGTCTTCGCCATGCCGTATGCCAATCAGCCGACAGTGAAAATAACAGAGCTGACGGACGAGAATGTGAAATTTGTCATAGAGAACACTGATTTAGCGTGAGTATGAAGCCGAGGTAGCTCAGTGATAAGTGAGTTATATTATGATCCCACGTCAGTATGCTTATGATTCCATCTTCCATTTTTGTGTCTATGGAGTATGCATGTTCTTCCCGTGATGTGGTAGGTGCTTCCTGCCATAGGCTTTTGGATATTGGGATATTTCACGATATTTCAGATCGTGGGTAGGTAACTTTTGGTTTTAAAAAGGTACATGAAGAAAACTAAGATAGATATGTATGTATATGTATATATACTTGTATTTGTGTATGTGTGTGTGTGTGGGTGAGAGAGAGGGAGACTGTTTTATCATGTGTTTTTTTTTTTTTTTAATTAGGGTTGCAAACTCCATACGCCGCGTCTTTATGTCTGAAGTGGCGACAATAGGTAATTCCTGTCTAAAATTTCACCACAACTTAAGTCCTTTTAGCCATTTGAAACAAACTTGCTATTTAAGTCGTTTTGTTTTGCAATGACCATATCCACTTTTTGTAGCAATTGACTGGATTCAGATAGATGCCAATTCTTCAGTTCTGCATGATGAGTTTATTGCTCACAGAGTTGGTAAGCATCTGCCTACAGCTTATGTGTTCCTGCTTATTTCGTACTTTACTTAACCTGCATACAGCTACTGGTGTTGATTATATTGTTCAAAATGACGATTTGTCTTTTTAGGTCTAATCCCCCTCACAAGCGATGACATTGTAGATAAAATGCAGTATTCCCGGGTAAGTACCTGCAAATCTACACATATGTCTTTAAAGAACTCCCGAGAAATCCTGGCTTGTTGAACACTGAATAAAAGCTTTTAATTTCTAATGAAAAATCTGTCGAGCTTCATCACACATCCCTTCTGCTCTAATTGCCTGTGCCCCCGCAGGACTGCACATGTGACGATTTCTGCCCCGAATGCTCAGTCGAGCTGACTCTTGACGTCCGATGCACAGAGGACCAGACTCGTCACGTCACCTCTCGGGACCTCCTGTCCAACAATCCCCGTGTCATTCCTGTGAGTATAAAGGCATTGGCTCCCAGCACACTTGTATTCATGTATTCTAAGGCATGTGCTCACACAAAACTACTTCAGCACTTTCTCTAACTCATGTCGACATCAGGAGTCCAGCATATGTGTAAGAGAGGACAGAATAGAAAAAAACAAAAATATCTTTGTCATTTTACATGTGCTACAAAACACATTGCTTTTCCACCAATGCTATAAACATAAAAGTAAAAATAACAATAATATATACAGTATAAAGGTGATTAGTAAACCTTGTGCTATAGTGCAATCATTTATTCTTTTTATCCACTTTTTTTTTTAATTAGAAGCAGTCGTGGTTAAAAACTAGCTACAGTGTAAACAGTTGTTTGGGGGGGGGCAGGTTGGGTGCATATGGAATGCTGATGGGGGTGTGGCGGCGTGACGTTATTTGAGTTTGTTGTTTGGTGACGACTTTTGTGTCTTTTACATAGGTGACCTCCAGAAGTCGGGACAATGACCCTAATGATTATGTGGAGCAGGATGGTAAAAATGGTTTTCTTATTCTCTTTTATTACTTTCCTTCTCGGAGCCTCTCCCACTCCATTCGACATGAATGGAAATGGTGTTTAAAATAGTCACAGTTACCGAGTAACTACTCCACTGCAGTCTGTTCTTTGCTACTCCGTTGCCTATTAGACATTCTCCTGGTGAAGCTGCGAAAGGGACAGGAGCTGCGTCTCAGAGCGTATGCTAAGAAAGGATTCGGCAAGGAGCACGCCAAGTGGAACCCAACCGCGGGGGTGTCCTTTGAGTATGACCCAGACAATGCCTTGAGGCATACAGTGTACCCACGTCCAGAGGAATGGTACGTCCCCTTTACACCTACCCACAGTGGCTTCAGGAAACGTTACTAAACATGTTACTACATGTTACAAAACATGTACATTTCATTTTCTATTCTCTTTATGCTACTTTCTATATAATTTCTTAACACTTTAGAAACACGTTGCACTTTGGATGTGTAATTTGTTTTTGCTAGACTTTTTTAGGGCCTTATAACTGGAGATTTTTAGAAATTTTGCTTTGCTGCATCATTGTACTGTTCAGCTTGCACTGAAATACAAACTTTACATGCCACTTGTGCCACCCGCATTGTATTATACCCTATTTATTTAGTGGAGGGAACTTTGTGCAACCGTTTATTTCTGTAATACTGCTGGGCAACCAAAATTTTCCCAGGGTCTGAAAGTTTGACTTACCTTTAAAAAAAGGGCATGCTTGTAGTATTACACATTGTTATGAAGGTTATTGTTCCTGATTAAATACAACAGAGAGTATAATGATGTTTTTGCAGTTGTGTAGGTTCTTGTTACTAAGATGTGGATCCATTCCTGTAAGTGTGGGTTTGAATCCTCAGATTGTGGTGTGCTGGGCACTTTTTCATTGAACTGTACACTGCTGATGAAAAGTATGGAATCATGAAGAAATATTTTTTGAAAGAAAATTTCATTTGTGTCAAAACTGTTTAAAAATGCAGTCTTGCAAAAATAATATTGCAATGTCACATTGCAAGCAGCTTTCCTCAGTCTGCTAAAAACTTAAGTTTGCCCAGTCCTTATGTAATCATGGTGATGTCCTAATTTCTAACTAGGGGAACTTTTCTCATTCTTGGAGCAGCTGAAAACTATTGTGCTGTTCAATAAAACATGACTGTCTTTCATTTTCTGAAGTAGCTAGTGCATTGATATTTCAAAAGTCCAAGAAGAAATGACTTTTCTTAGAAACGTCTCAATCTATTCTTCTGAGATCAAGGCTGTTCTGTGTATGAGGTTGCCTGGAAACTGAAGATTACATTTGGAGGTTTGTCTTACAGTCCTTTAGAGTAAAAACTGGATCTAATCAGGGCAAGAGATGTGGAAGGCACATCAGATGCATAATCGCTAAAGAGGGTCTCTGGTTTTAGAAGCAGCTGCCTCACGGGTCTCCAGCTTGGACCTTCATTCAACAAGCATTAATGTCACCTACAACCGTGAAGAGATGATGCTCACCTTGCAGGCAATTTGTCAATGGAAAAAGCCACTTCTGAAACTGGGTGAAAAGGTTAAAATGGGCAAAAGGACATAATGACCGGACAAATTAATCTAAACTAAGGTGTGTGGATCAAAGAGAAGAACATACTTGAGATTAATAAACTAGAGCAGTATTTTCCATTCCCAGTCCTCAGGGACCCACAGATGGTCCATGTTTTTGCTCCCTCCCAGCACTGGGAAGGGTTGGGAAACACTGAACTAGCAAGTGCTGCAGGAAGGCCTGACGCCGCCCGTCAAGCACGGCGGAGGGAATGTGATGGTATGAGGTTACCTTGGTGCCAGTGACATGGGGGAGTTATACTGAGTGCAAGAAATACTGAAACAGAAAGGTTACCCCTATAATACAATGACATTGCCATGCTCTCTGCACGGTCGGTGTAGCAGTCGGCAGGAGTCTCTGGATTGGCCAGTATAGTCAGTCACCTGATCTTAATCCCATCAGGCTTTGCAGGAACAGCTTGGTTTTAAGGTGCATGAGAAGCCAGCCACACCTTTGGGGTGCACTGCAGCACACATGGGGGGGGGGGGTCATTTCACCTAAATAACTGACAGCTAGTATTTCAAATGAAACTGCTAAATAAAAATGTTAATGTTTTCAAGATGTTTTTTTAATCAATTTAATGATAACTGAAAGTTTTGTTCAACAAGATTTCTTTTCAGAAATGTAGAACATTCTTCGTGCATCTATACTTTTGAACTGTAGTGTGATTGTACTGTTGCATTCATTTATTTAGAGGAAATCCCACCCACAAGGCAGTTCTTGAACTAAGTTGACTTTTCTGCTCTTTCAGGCCCAAGAGTGAGTATTCTGAGATTGAAGAGGATGAGATACAGGCCCCTTATGACCCCAACGGCAAGCCAGAGAGGTGGGTTACATCTCTCTGACAGACATTTCTTGACTTAGTGTTTTGCAGCTCTGTCGATGTTGCTTTTCACCTTTGTCTGATATGCTAAGTGACTCTTTGTTGTGTGTATGCTTACCAAAAGTTTTATTTGAACAGATCCAGCTGAACTAAGTTAACAGTAACAGAATATTGCTTCTTATGCAGTTGCCACGGTGACGAATACCAAATGCTATATTAATGTTCCACAGGTTCTACTACAATGTGGAGTCATGTGGCTCGTTACGGCCAGAAACCATTGTCTTGTCCGCACTGGCCGTGCTCAAGAAAAAGCTGAGTGACCTGCAGACCCAGCTGAGCCATGAGATCCAGAGTGACGTGCTCACCATCAACTGAGAGCTGGTTCTGATTCAATACATCTACGCCATGACGTGCAGCAGAGGACTGATCTAGTATGACTTCACCATCAGCCTAATTACCAGTGCAGTAGATGAAGATCAGGTCAACAAACAATGATCAAGTACAAATTGAGCTTCTCCTTTTCGCCATTTCTACATCTGGACTCAATGTCACCTAAATCGGGAGGCCAGAGTTTTTTTTCCCCTGCACACGCATTCCTGCATAGAGGAATGCGTGTGCAGGTTCTTATACCCAAGTACTTAAAGCCCACATTTGTAAATATTTCCCTAGTTAATCCAGTTAATGCTCTCATCAGGCTGAGATCAGTAGAGATTAACAGGACCTGCTGTTGGGGAACCCTGCTCTAATTTGAGTGTTAGACAAGATTTATATTCTTGTCTGACTCGTATCCCCCAGACTGTCAACAGTGAAGGATGTAATCCTTATGAAGCACGGAGGATATCGATTCATTTTTCATGACCTTGGACTGTTGATGAAAGGTCTGTTCATGACAAGTGTTTTTTTTTTTTTTGGGTATGAAATAAAGGTCGTGTTTTCTAAGACCCGAGTGTTTGAATGTGTTTAATGCATCAGTTTGAGAAAATGCTCTGAATATTGTACCTGTAATGATTATTCATTTCATTTTCACACTGTTTTTCTTGTTGAGGGTTACATTATTGATGTTTCCTTTTGTACTATTCATGTGATAAATGAAATGATGATGCTTTATTGATGCCCATGGGGATACCCTCTTTTTGCCTCCATGTCACAAGTGAGAGCAAGCTTGGCAATGAAGGGCAACCGCCCACAGTGGTACCCATGGAGCTGGGAGATAAGGGCCTCGCTCAGGGGCCCACATGCTGAGACTGGGCTTGAACTGGTCACTTTCTGACTGCAGCCACCTGCTGCCCACTAATAATCCATTTACATTATTTTTGTATTATGTTTAAGTTCCCTGTTCATTGAACTACCACATGGGTGTGTATATTTAAAATTATCTTTCTGTATCTGTACATAAATGATAACACTCTCCAAGTATATACAATCATATAAGACAAATGTGACTAAACCAAAAAACCTGTTTTATTTCTGACATGGTAAGGTACTACTGAAACCACTGGAGAACACAAATGGTAAGTTAAATCTTATTTTTCGAAAAATATAGGTAAATGTGTAAAATTAATACAAATTAAGAATAGATATATATTGCAATGGTAAACCTATAGTTCTACACTTAGAGATAAAAGTACGTAGTTTTCATTATAGGCTTAATTCGGTTTCATCATATTTGAATTACCGTACGTATAACGGAATGGCGACACCCCTAATTTCTCATTGAAAGGCAGCGATGCGTGCTTACGTCATACGCATAGCACACGCGTGAACGTCAGCACGCACACGGCGAGCTCCAACGTGGTCCATCTTTCGTGATCCCCCTGTTAGATATTCCAAAGCACTCCATTCCCGGCACTGATCCGTTATACAGATACGATTAGGGGTAGTACCGGGACCATAGTACGCCACTGCTGACTCGCCATGACTGAAAACCCCTTAAGTAAATAAACCGGGGTGCATTGCAAAAGCATCGTGAGGTACGTTTTATAATCATTATTTGCTAATTATTATGAATTATTATTTTTGGGAAGAGCGCTATATTGTCTTGCTGGTATCCTGGGCGGTGTAGTTACAGGAACTGAGCCAACCTACCACATGTTGACAGGCAGCGAGCTGGGATAGATGCTGTCGTGTGCTTATATTACAGCTTTACACTGTATGTTCTGCGGTCCATCTGCGGCCAAATCTGTCAAGGAAGCAGAAGATTTTTTCACTCCTGCTCCTGATACAGGCGTAGCGGCGGAGGGCCGAAAGGCATGAGCGGGCTGGGGAAGGGGCTGGACGCTACGCTGGTTGCAGCTGTCCTGTATTCATGCAAAAAAGCCTTTTTGTCCCTTATAATAAACGACTGTACGGACGCTGTCTGCGCTTCAAGCAGAATATCAAAGGCGGCGTGTCCGCCTTAATATCTAATCAGCCTTTGTGCGGGATTGTTGCTTTCCGATTTGCTGTGACAAAAAATGCAAGATGAAATTCACTTTTTTACTATTGTATTCATTTATATGCATTTAGCATTAATTAGCTAACAGTTTTAAAAAATATTTTCATACTCATATCCATTCCGTTCACCTGTCCAGAGTGTTCATTCTATTGTACTGCTGTCCCTTGCCATACTGGAAAGATACACATGTCATGTTATTTATGTCCTTTGTATGAAATAATAAAGAAACAACATTGGAAGGACTAATGTGCACTGTGTGTATTATGTAGTTTTGAGTATTACATAGCTATGAACTTCTCTTTTTGTGAGTAGTTAGTTAGACATACGTATTGCTAATTACACCAGCTATCCACAATAGCACCGCTGTGAACCTGGAGCCTTTTTCTGGAAACGCAGGATACGAGACGGGACACCCTGGATGGGATCCATTCTGTTATAAGCCAAACACTAGTATACCACTACAGGCCATTTTAAAGACACAAATGCACTTTGTGAACCAGAAGAAACCCACACAGAGAGTGAGTCTCACTGTTCAGCGGCAGGTAAAGTGCTGTGCGCTGGCCATGTGTTTGCGGACACAGTACTATAGGGATTAGTATTGGTAGAATTTAAAAGTCCTACTGACTGAAGTTGTGAATCTCTACACAGACGTCTTAAGTTTTTATCTAGTACCTGCTTTGCATTTCCCCCCCCATGCACTCTTGATAAACATAATAAAAATGTTTTAAATGATTACACGGGTATTTCCCTTAGGTGCGAATGTGTGTATGTGGCTGCCATACGACAGACTGGTGCCCCAGCATGGGTTATTCCCCGCCTTGCACCCATTGCTTCTTAGACAGGCTCTGCACCACCGCACCCCTGCATAGGACAAGCGGGCATAGAAAATAGATGGATGGACAATCGCATGCTTGCTTTGTTGTTTGTTTTTAATCCACTTAATTAAAGTTAAGGAGATTTTCACCCCCCAATTTCCTTGCTTTGTATTACTTTTTATTACTCCATTTGGTGAGGCATAAATTGTAAAGCGCCTTGAGTACTCGTAGGAGTAGAAAAGCGCTATATAAATGCAGTCCATTTACCATTTTTACCATTTGTTATGAACTTTCATCACTAAATATTTGCACACTAATACCCACTCAGCTTCTGTATTGTGTGCATGCCGTTGCACGAGAGATCTAATCTCTCCCCAGTGAGGTTTTCGCAGAACATCGGACAATCTTCTCCAGCCTCAGTTGCCAAACGCACTCGTGAGGAAGCAGATGTACTGTGATGTTCCAGCCACATAAGCATGTGCTCGCAGACACTGTACTACAGCCACACATTTCTCTTTACGCACGCTGTCCTGTGGTGAGAATTTCTTAACTTTCTGGTAGAGTCAGAAAATTGTCACTTCCCTTGCTAATCATTTGCTTATCTTTTCCCACGCTAATGATAAGGACAGCCCACGGCCTGTGTAAGACCATTATCACATTATACACACATTATTCGTTCATCTTCCATACTGTATGTGCCAACCCATTGCCGGGCACACACAGCATTCACACCTTCATTAATATTTTACGAAACTTGGTCGCGTGTTACTTCGTGCTTCTGCCGGCAATCTGTGGTTCACTGGGCAATTTTCTCGTCAGCAGGTGTGCCGAGGTGGAGCGACTGAGGTGATGGTGCTGGATCCCGGGGAAGGCTGTGGAGACCGGCTGCAGGGGGAGGGTGGGATGGAGGACACCCGGGATGCCCTGGAGCCGGAACATAGGCCCAACCGGGCCAAGGCAAGGCCTCGAGCCGGCAGCATCACCAAGGGGGCGGCCCCTTGCCCCAGCAGGCAGCGGTCCCACACCTGCCTGGAGTCGGGCTGCCGGACCAAGGGAGCAGTCTGCCCTGACGGAGAGGGGCTGGCAGCCCGGCGAGCTTCCACGGGTGCGGCGGCTCAGAGGCCTCTCAGCCTACAGGTGAAGCGGCAGCGGGGGGTGGAGTCAGAGCAAAGACGGGTGCAGCAGCCCCCCTGGCGCAGCGCCCAAGCCCCTTGCCCCCCCGCTCGCAGCCTCACTAGCCCCAGCTTGTCCCCCGGTGGTTGGATGCGGCGCAGTGAGAGCACCTTCGCAATGAACGGGGGCCTAGGTGGTGCGATCGGTAGGGGGCGTATGCGTCCCGCCACCTCCCTGCCCCACATAGCCCGGGTGGGTGGACCCGCCCCGTTGACCTCACCTTCGTCACCCAAGGGCTCCTGCCTCCTGGTGGCCTTACGACCCATTAACATGGAGCAGGAGCGCGAGGCATTCTTCCAGGCTGGCTTCCAGTACGAGCCCCAGTTCCAGTACGTCTCCCCACAGCCCAGCGCCGTCCTGGAGAAGTACAAAGAGGGTTCTGGCCTCTTTCTTGCACAGGTTGGCCGCCCATCTGTCTCGCTGGCTCTGCCCGGCTCGCTGGGTCTGTCTTCAGGTCGGGCCCCGGCCGTGAGTGACGCCGCGTGTGTTTGCAGGCGGTGGGGATCATGGAGTGCGTCCTGAGGAAGTTCGCTACTTACGAGAGTTTTGAGGCAGCCACCGGGGGCAGCGTGCTTCCCAAGAGTCACGTGTGGGCAGCCGTGCGCAAATACCTGCAGAAGGAGGGCTGCGTGGGGGAGGTGAGAGCATGGGGAAGGCGGGGCCACCGGAAGGAGACATGGCATCCGCTCCTGGGGCGACAGTGTGACATGCCGTGCTGCTTTTTGACCCAGGTGGTGGTCCGGCTCTCCGAGGAGCTGCTGTCTCAGGCTGTGATGATGGTGGAGAGCTGTAGGCCAACTCTCACGATCAACCTGTCAGGAGCGAGGCAGCACTGGCTGGAAGGCATGCTCCGTCATGAGATCGGTAGGCCCCGCCCCCAGTGTGACGCTGGAACATTCCGCCACCTCACCATCCGCCATCACACTCTCATCATCATCATCTTTATTTTTCAAAAATTATTTACTTGGAGCAATTTGTGTACTTCTCTGCGGGCTTCAACCTCAGAGTGAATTCTAAGCCTTAAACACAGATATTATGAAAGTCGGTTTTGAAAGACGTAAAATGGGATGCACCTCGATCCATCTGTGTCTGTATATATCCATCCGTCACCCCCCCACATGCCAGCTCACACCCCCAAGCCCATTGTGACCCCTCCCCCCGCACCCTGTTCTGCTTCACCAGGTACACACTACCTGCGCGGGGTTAACAATAGCCTGCAGCCCTGGGGCAGCACCATGGGGCGGAAGCAGTTCGGCTTGAAGCCCGCCAACCCCACAGAGGAGGGCCTGGCCAGCCTGCACAGCGTGTTGCTACGGCGACAGCCATTCCTGTGGCGCGCTGCCCTACTCTACTATACTGTCTACCACGCCGCGCACATGAGCTTCAGCCAGCTGTTCACCCACATCAGCCGCTTCGTCGAGGACCCCGACGTGCGCTGGGAGTACTGCATCCGGGCCAAGAGGGGGCAGACTGATACCTCCCAGCCAGGTGGGAGTCGTCGTTTCATCGAGGCCTATGGCCGAGATTGTATGTTTGTGTTTCTGCGTGATCATTACACTGCTGCCAGTGAGGATCTGATGACTTGACAGGCTTTCTGCCATTGGCTGTCTGAGGATATGTCTCGGTGTGTCTGATAGGCTGCTTCAGTAAGGATCAGGTTTACCTGGATGGAGTGCTGAGGATCCTTCGACACAGGAGGAATATCGACTTCAAAATGCTTGCCTGCCTGGGCAAAGTGAGTCCCCCCCCGATCGCTCATTAATTCATAGCCTTAAAGCTGATCTATTCTTCCACTTTGAATTGACGGCGTAAGTATGGCGTAGTCCTGGACCCGGTGCCGGAGTTTATACCTTAGCCTGACGTGATCCCCAGAAATGTAACTACACATTGTGGCGACGCAGACCTCAAGAAATGTGATTGGTCCCCTTTATGGCATTTGTTTTTTTATGGGAGCAAAGAAAGCGTACATCACAGGTGTACTTATATCATTGATTGAAACTTAAGTGCTATTTATATCTATCAATAAATAACCCGCTCTAGGCATCGGGTAGCAGCCAGTCTACAAAACACTTAGCATGACAGCTCCAACTTCACTTACCTCCATGAAGTTTATTTGTACTTTACAAGACTTAAAAAAGTAAAACATAGTGTATACACTAAACATTTTTCCTAATTTGTTTACGAGAAGTTTGGAGCAGCAGAAATATAACCAAGGACTCGATAAATGGATACTTTGTTCAGTGTTTGTTTCCTGTTTCATTTGCGTGATTCGACAATTGAATACATCGCAGTGTGGGAAGATATCAAATGCAACATCCAAAAGCATGTATTACCCAGCACTTTGGTGGTGTAATTGCTGAGTGACAGACACACTAGCGCACAAGTATAAATGCTCGCAACAATGTAGCCTCGACGCAGAAGATTAAACCAGCCTTTAGTAGGTCTTGGATGTGCAGAGCCTCTTCTTCTTCATGTGCTATTTGTGCTCATTAAAATGAAATGAAGCACAGCCAGTCCAGACGTGAAGCCTTCTTTTCTTAAAGCCATTTTATTATCCTTCACTGAGCAACATCACCCCTCTAATCTGTTATAGAACACGGTTATGTAGGATATTCAGAGTCGGCACATTAATTTTATGAAATGCCAGTTGGATTACAATTAACATTCTGAAAACCAACTTCAACATTAATATAATACCTTATAAATTGGCCTGTAATATATTGTACAGTATTGCAATGATCACCAAATGGTTGATTTAGTAGTATCTTCTTAGCTAGACAGCACTGAGGTTGTGTGTGGCTCAGTAGGTTAGGGGGCTGTGCCAGTGACCAGAAGGTTGGCAGTTCGGATCCTTGGTTTCCCATAGTAGCTTCACTGTTGGCCCCTTAGTAAGTTCCTTAAAGCCCAGTCGTTCCAGGAATTTACTTCACGATTGGAATGCACTTTGTATAAAAACAACCCCTAAATAAATAAATGTAGTTCTTGACACTAACAAGGATGTTAGAAGGTGGATGGAT